ATATGACTCAAATTTTAGATATCTTATTTTTATTAAAACAAATTATTATTAAATTATTTAAGTTATTAATTATAAATTAATATTTTCAAACACATTAATTAATTGTAAACTGACACAATTAGACTAACCAAACAATTAGAATATTTTTATGGAACTTTAATATTTATTTGTGTTGCCATACCATGCCATCCACAAGTTGTAGCTTCATAGAAACTTCAGTGTAGATTGGTAGCATTCTTGGCCGAAAAATTTGAATCGCCTCTTCCTGTCTGGCAGGAGCAGGGTAACTATCAGCATGACAAGAAAATTATACTGAGATATCCTGTTTTGTCCCTAGCCTTTGTGGTTCTCCTGCTTGGATAGTGAAGTTTCCGTCCTCCAAAAAGTGACGTTTTTAATTTTTATTTTTTTATATAATTTTTAATTAATATATTGTTTTTTTGTTTATTTTTTAAAAGAAAAAGGTTTTTCTTTCATTTTGTATGTGGAATTTACTTAATAATTTTTTTATTATTTTTTATATTAATTTTTTATCAAACACGAAAAAATTTATTTGGGCTTTCAAAAAAGAAAATAAAAAAGTTAACAAATTAATAATATTCTAATAAAAACTTCGTTACAAAAACTTATTAATTTTGGATACAATACTTTCTTAATCATTTTTCATTAAAAGCATGAACAATGATTGGTACACATTTCGATTTAACACATTGTATGACACACTTATTAAAAAATTATTATTTTTTATCTGAAATTAAAAACAGACAAATTTAATGATACAATTATGCACACAAGATATATGAATCGGTTAAATTGATTATATTTATATTATATTTTTAATCATTAAACCGGATGGTATCAGAAAATGTAATGAATCGGATGGTGTACTAATCAACGCTGAGTGACTTGGGATATCCCACCCCCATGATGCTATTTCGGAAACTCTTGGTTATCAGTTTCAGAATAAACCTCTAATCTTGATATTGAACATGTAAAACAAGTCCCCTATCAATGCCTAGTTACATATAACCAATTTTTTGTATTGGCCAAATCATCAGATACATAGAACCAATTCAAAGAGACATTTTATCAAACAAGTGGTCTACTCTATTGAAGCAAACACCTGGATCAGTCGAGGATACAGAGATTTCTAGCGAGTGCCTAATCTTCCACATAACTGAAAGATTTTCTAAGATTGGCTGCCATAACGACCCACCAAGTTCTCCATACCAGAAGGGGAAAGAGGGAATTTTGGTGGGGGAATTTACTAAACCGAAGGGGGTTAAGCTAACGAGACGGTCGGAAGCTTGTTACTACAGTAACAGAGGTTAGTGACGCGTGTGCGTAAGGACAGGGTTGTCATTTCCTTTTTTCGAAAAAAAAGGTTTTATTTGAAAAAATAAATAAATAAATAAATAACGAAAATTTGTTTTGGCTCCCGCCTGGCCTTCAGCCTTCAGCCTTCAGCCTTCAGCCTTCAGCAGCGGCTACACGGTCAAACGCCATCCATCGAAAACAGATTTAATTTTTAATCGCGAAAACCGTACAACCTCTATGGTTACTTGTGCTAATTTTCAACTTCTATTTTATATTTTAAATAAAAAATTATTTACACATAATTTTTATATATTATATTTATACAGAATTTTAATTATTTATTTTTTTATTTTTAATTATTAAAATTTATAACGAATTTTTAAATAAAATGTATTTTAAATATAATAAAAATTAAATAAATTTCAAT